GCAGATGGGTTAATAATCTCTTTCTCCTCGAGTTCATTTATATTTTATCAATGGATGCATGTCCTACAGAGCTTGAGCATGTGTGTATATACACACACACATACCTGCACATATAAATGGATGGAGGTTTGCCAAAGGCTCCGGCAGAAAGATGACACCCCCTTGATCAAAAGGGGGTCTTTTGATGATGAGGTGCACTGCAAGAAATTTTTGTTTGCCAGAAAATTTATTACAACCAAGTTTTTCACGAGTTATGATATAAGTCAGGTGGTCACCTTCGACTATAAATGTCATAGATATTATTATTATGTACATATGGTCATATAAGCTGTGAATTACAGCTAAACTCATTTGAATTATATACAAGAAATACTTGGGGGAAACCCAGAGTTCTCCAACGGCAGAGCATACAGTTGATCTTTGAAGAACCAATAGATTGAGAACAAATAAATAGACGTAAGGTCCACCTTTTTAACACCATTTTATAGTGATATTTTTCTGGTTTCAGTATAACCCTCTAAATTGTAAAATGAAAGATTGGGAAGCTTGAAAATTCTCTTTCCTAAATATGGACCGGTCAAAGCATCCATACGGCTGCTGATCACACCAGCGATTCTAAAATCTTCCTCCTGCATTGCTGTTCTGCGTTTCGAAAAGTATTCATGAGTATTCATCTGCATTTCTTCGTCCAACCTGCAAAATTGCAGGCAGTTTTTATTTGGCTATGTCGAGTTATAATCTAACCAGAACGAAAAAGTCCATGGATCAACAAATGTGGATCTAAGTTTCTCTTTGTTCTGATAAATTGAGCCTTTAGGGTTAAAGCGTAGTTTCCAGCTTATGGTCAACCCAAGGTGGCATAGCAAATACACCATTCTTTATAAAGAAACCTATATGTAAGAATTTATCCATAGGGTTTCAGTTCAGAGAAAGGAAGACGGTAATAATACCTCATAATCAAAGAAGACCATCCAGTATATCCAACAGAAATAAGATGCTTCAAAGTGGAGTTGCGTTCATTCTCATGTTTCCGCGATATGAAAATCAATAACCATCCTTTGGATCTAAGTTTCAAGTATAACTTCAGAATGAGCATATGCTTCTGGTTTCTCGCATCTTCAATGCAATCAGTATAACCACAGTGCCATACATCAAATCTGTAACGAATAGAATCTTTACTCTGAGAAATTTGGTAGTAAGGCAAATTAATCTAGTTCTCCCACGTATTCTACCTCAACAAAGTTGGTAAGTAGGAAATAAGCATGTTAAGATTGAATTTAAATGAGGTGAGAATGATCTATGTTAAGAAACTCCTAGTACAAATATTTCATAGACAGGTCTATAGATGATATCATTCAATGATATAGGAACATACACGAAGAAAGTAGAAGTTACACGAGAATTACCGGTACTTCAATATGCTAGGGTGTAGATCTGAAGCAGAGATCTCATCTACATCCATTAACACCACATCTAATCCATCATCCAATGGTGTAAGACTACTGAAATAACTCTCAATCATCCACATTGTAAAATTTAAATCTCTCCAATACTGTCCTTCTCTGATGTACTCAATACCAAAATCCCTGCAAACTGAAGGGAACTCTCCCACTTCCAAGTTGTTGAGCTCAGCGTGCTGTGCAAAAATCTTGCAGTAACTGTGATCATCACTTGATTTTGGAATTTCAACAAGCCCCGAATTCCTACTTTGACAGGACTGCAACATTACTGATAGTGCAATCAGCAACGTTATCAACAATACCCCAATAGTTACAAGAGCAGCAATGAAGATTGTTCCTGCAAATGATGTCATGTAGAAGCCTGTCTCTACAATGTATTGACTCCCTACCTCTGCAGCCAAGAAAAACTGAAAAGGTAACTATGTTGACATGTCTATCCTTATAATCATCACCAGAAATCAATACTAGGTGTTGACTATCAACTGGTAAATTATTTCTTCTGTTCCAAGAATGAAATACATGAAGTAGAAAATAAATAAATAGAACGTAGACATGAATATTTCATATCTATTAACTGATTACCGATAGACGGGAGGCAATTAGCTGAAAACCCATCTAGCTCAGCTCATTATTTCACACCAAGAACTTGATATTAGAACGCAACATCACGATTTGATACAAGCAGTTGTAAATAGATAACGATTTCGGTATCGAATCACAATTTGTGATTGTTGTGCAATATGGTAAATTAAGCAAGCAGATGAAACAATAGAGAAGTTACATGGTTCGGTCAAGCTAACCTACTCTATCAGAGAACTAAATCTAAAGAATCCTAGAAATTGAAATATATTTCTCTATCTTTCTCTCTCAAACTCAAGCCCGAATACATTCAATATCATGTAGAGCTGAGCAAAAGTACACAAAACTATATAGAGCTGACTGCAGGAGAAAATCTTCAAAATAGGTTAATGTCAGTATTCGATCTTGTGAAATCAAGATCCATTACAACAGCGGTGTATAAGAATTTGTTATTGAACTTCAATTAACCCGTCAAAACGACTTCTTTTTAATTATTTTTCATTCTCATACGTGTCTGTAACAATCTTGCATAAATCCAAGAAAGAAAAAATAATGAGGAAGAAGATTTTGCCAACCAGAATTCCCTCTACTGGATAGACTCTGGGCTGAGAACTCCCGTTCCATCTGATGTGCATAGGCTGACATAGTTTTAGCCCTAATCAGCAATCACCAGTTCAAGTAGCAACCAGAAGAAACCTCCACAAACCTTCCAGATAAGAAAAAGGGTCACCTGAAACAACAAATCTTTGGCTTAGCTCATTCAAGCAACACAAATAATTGGGAGAAAAAGCCTAGAATTTACTAATGGTAATGTCCCTCATCTTCCACAGACATGAACTCAGTTAAACTCGTCATCCTCCAGAATTCGACTAGCCTCATTTGCAGAATTACCCATTTAAGCCTACAGCCTTTTGGGGTTCAGAAGTTAAACTTCCATTCATCAGAATAAAAATTTAAACTATCTGATCATGTGACTTGTTCCATGAATGGGTAAAAAACATGAAGCCCATAATTTTCAGAAAATCAGACGATTCGCAAGGGTTCAATCTACGAGATCACCAATCAGAAACTGATGAGAAAAGGTCCAAAATCTACCAGCGTCTTAGCAAGTAAATAAAGCAGAGTTCAGTTCTTTTGTCAGTACGTATCAGAAAAAGAGAGAAGAAGCGAATGGAAGAGAGAACCTGAAAAGATGACAAGGAGTGGAAAAGGCGATTAACCCAGAAAAGACAGAGGAAGAGGAAGAGCAAGGAAGCTTCCTTTCTTCTTCCATTGTTTATGAATTATAAAGGTGGCAACTTTCGTTAATGCGTAAAGCTTCAACAGTAAAGAAGAGTTGAAGCGATGATGGTGATTTGTAGGAACAGGAGTTACAGAACCAATTGGAGATCTTCAAGATTGGTATCGAGTAGTAGTATTTGTCTCTGACAATCATTATTATTAGTATTTTCAGAAATCATTATTATTATCTTCAAATCTAATTATTATTTTATTCTCATAGATTTTATTATGAACGATGTTTTAATTTTAGTTTAATTACAAAATTAACTAAACATTTTAACAAAAATAAAAACAATTATTACTTTTTGTGAAATTAATGCTTTTTATTATAATTTAATTTATTTTTCATAAAATGAGGATATAATTATAATAAAAACATTTAAAATCAATTTTAATTAATTTAATTTTGGTAGTAGTTATTAGTTTAAGTTGTAATTATCATCTTGATAATAAGTTTGTCAATTGCAGCTTTAGTAAAGAACATGCGATATGAATAAAATTTTCAATATAAAACAATAATTTAGTCAGTGTGTTATGAGTATAAATAAAATTATGAATATATTATATTAATGTAAATAAACATATACTTCCAAAATTTACTATTAATATACCAGAGAAAGAGTTATCTAAAATTTCAACCTCAATATTAATAATTATTAATATTTCGTGGAATTTATTTTGCCTACAAAATTGTATTGAGAAACAAAAAAAAAAAAAATAATAAATCTGAAAAAGACAGGGGAGTACATGGGATTCATGAAACTCCCAAGTAATAATAAAGTAGTATTATCCCTGATTTTTTTTTTTTTTTTTTTTCTTTTTGGTTATTTATTTTGTCCTTTTGTGAAAGTGAATGGCATTTATGACATTTCACATTTTAACTCGTTCAAACCAAATTTATATACATATATATATATATATTTAAAATAACTTCATTGTATCTTTTTATCTCCTCCTCCATATGGACAAGTCAATTTCGACCCTTTTAAAAGATATCTTATGTTGTACTTTGAAATAATCATCCTACCAACAGACTTCATTAGCTTATTGATCTTTTAATACCATCCATCCCAAAAAAAAAAAAAAAGAAATAATAATATTCAATCACTTGTGTATTATACACCATAAAGATTATTACAACACTATCAGCACAAGTTCTGTGCTTGTTGGCTACAAAATTTCTCAACTCCCAATTTCTCATTCACAAACTCACAGCTGCATCTACATAACTAGCTAACTCACTGGCAGCTCCAATGTAGGTATGAGGTGTTAAATTCAGAAGACTGCTCTTTGCTTCTTTGGGTAATTCAAGCCCTTCTATAAATTCTCTTATACTTTCTTTTGTAACCGCTCTGCCCCTTGTTAGCTCCTTTAGCTTCTCATAAGGCTCTGGAACTCCATATCTCCGCATAACCTGCATGACATATCAGTCGTCTTCTCCAAAATTTGAACAAAGTGAAACAGATAGTATAACAGACTTTGGCAAAAGGATTCATGTATGGCAATTAACAATGATTCACACAGATTGCCTTTTTATATATGTTCCACGAAGATGGACAAAACATTTGAAGACATTTTTGTATATGATGGTGAGGAGAATGTTGTTTGCATATTTTCAATATCAGGGATAACAGGCAGACGGGGAAAGAGTTCCCTTCTTTTCCCCCCGATTGGAGAAGGGCCTCGGAGGAGGAGGTCAGTATGTGGCGAAGAACTATTTCATACAATAATTTAAGTTACAATTGGTAAAACCGTAAAAGTAACTTTTATCACAAATGCCAACAGAAGATACATACAGTCTGTATTGGTTCAGCAAGGACCTCCCATGCCTGGTTCAAGTCTTCGATTATGCGAGCTTCATTGACCTAGAAAGCAAAAATAATTTAAATCTCAAAACTATTCAACATAAGAACATCCAACCTGTCTGATAAAGAGACAACAGGACTGACAGGTCAGGCCAAGTTGCTATTTTAACCCCAATGAACATACCTGAAGCTTTCCTATACCCTGTAACGCACTTCTATAGGCGAGAAGAGAGTGTCCTAATACTCCACCCATGTTCCTCAAAACAGTCGAGTCAGTCAAATCTCGCTGTCATAGAGTATACAGCAATCATTACATAATCTTTTTTTTTTTTTTGAAGAAAAAGCCAGCTACAACGTCTAAAAATATACATTTGGAATGAACAAGGTCATACCTGCCACCGTGAAACAGGTAACTTCATGCTCAGGTAGGAGAGATCTGCATTTGCTTTACCAAGATTGCCCTCACTATTTTCGAAATCAATAGGGTTTACTTTATGAGGCATTGTTGATGATCCAATCTCACCAGCCTTAGTTGTCTGCTCCAGATTTTGAAAACAATTTAAGTCTATTTTCCGTAAAACATAAGGAACATGCTGAGATTTTCACCTCTTAATCACAAAAATTACCTGCTTGAAGTAACCGAAGGATATATAACTCCATATATCTCTATCAAAATCAATCAATATATTGTTAAACCGGGTAACTGCATTGAAAAGCTTGGCCATGTAGTCATGAGTTTCAATCTGCAAAACAAATTCAAAGTAAACATTTAATCGGATAGTGCTTTGCATGGTCTATCTAATTTGCCTCTGAAAGGTCCACAGACTAGGCATTGAACTTCTTCACTTAACAAGAAACAGCATGAACATCTCATACAAATCAATAAAACAAATGATTTCTTTAACCACCTGAGTAACATAGGGATTGAAACTCAATCCAAGAGAATGAACAAACTCTTCTGCAATCCGAGGCCAGTTAACATTTGGATATGAAACAAGATGTGCATTGTAATTCCCCACCGCACCAGCAAATTTTCCCATTATCTCAACTTGATTAATGTCTTTTCTTTCTCTACTTAACCTGAAAGCAAAAATTGCCATTTCCTTCCCCAACGTCGTAGGTGAAGCTGGCTGCCAATGATAAGAAAAGTTAAATAACCATCCAAAGACAAAACACATTTTAAAAAAAAGTACAAGCATATACCATATAAACTGCTAAGCAAAAAAACAATCCTGATGAAGAAAAAAACAAAAAGCTAAAAGGTTGAAGTCACAACCAATCTCAAAAAGCAAATATTTTCCAATATCTCGCAAGCAATGAAGTGTGTGTTTGTTCGTGCATATGAGAGAAAGAGAGAGCAAACATCACACTATCACTCAGCCGAATAGTGCATCAAATGATAATTAACAGTAACGTAGATTGGCAGTTAAGCAGGATTCATTACTACCTGCCCATGAGTGCGTGAAAGCATGGGAATATCTGCATTAGCCTTGGCCATATTGCATATGGCCTGAATCAGTTCATCCATGACGGGAAACATAACCTCATTGAACGATTCTTTCAGCATCAACGCATGGGCAAGATTGTTGATGTCTTCAGATGTGCAAGCAAAATGGGAAAAATTCAAGTACCTGAAAAGGTGGCATACGATGACATCATATTCCAAATATCAAAATCTCTAGCCACAGATTATACAGAATAGAACAAGAGTAAAGCACTACCTTAGCACCTCTGGATGTGACTGACATTTCTGTTTCAAGAAATACTCAACTGCTTTTACATCATGGTTGGTGACCCTCTCAATCTTTTTGATTTCCAAAGCGTCATCTATACCAAATCCATCAACCACACCTTGCAAGTAGAGCGAGCTTCTTCACTGAAGTTTGGAAATTTCTGCGACTTCAGGGAATTTGTGAAAGCTTCAGCAACCATTTGATCTAGCAGATTCAATTATAAAAGAGCCTCCTCAAAATAAAATAATGACCACATGATACATAGAGATATACTTTCAATATTAAAAATTTAATAAATGAAATTTACCATTAAAGTGCATGCATATAGTTTTAAAGATTCATAATTATAGTGAATTGATATTAGTAACTGTTGCTAACGTCAACAGAGATGCACCAAGTTATTTGATCAATGAAAAATATGATTATAATTGCTTGATCAATCACTTCCATTTCTGGAGATAATAACTGCTTGATCAATCCAACACATAGCAAACAACTTGCAGAGTCCAAATCGATGAGCAGCTGGAGTGGAAGTATATTCGTTATCCACCCAGATTATAGCTTACAGGTCTCTCAAAGTCAATCAAGCAGTGATTCATGTAGGTAAGATCAACTAAAAGCTGATTGAATTGTACATTTCAAAATTTCCTCAAACCAAAATTTATTTAAGTGCAACAGTCTTCCACTTAAAGTTTTGGGGTCAAGACAAACTATGCAAATTTTGCACATATAAACACTGCCCATGTGTTGGAAATTATAAGCATGATATTATCTCACATTAAAGTCCATTGCCACCATAAAAGCTAAGCCCATTATACCTTCATCATCTAGGAAAAAAAATATTTCTATATATTCCAATACACTTTCAGTTACAACAAAATTCATTAAGCTAAATTTGCTTGTCCTGGGAACACCCAAAAACAACCAAAAACAAACTAGCCCAAAACTAAAAGACAGCGAATAAAGAAATATGTCAACAGCGTAAACAAGGATATAAATGCGATATAGTAGAAACAAAGGCAATAATAAAAACTTTACCTCAACCAAAACCCGAAACCGGATTAATCCATACTCGCTCATGTATGGAGCTAAGTCTTTTACTTTACCCCAATAACGACCATCCAAAGGAGATAGTGCCGTTAAGGTCGATAGCTCAAACTCCCTAGAATCATGACTAGGCATCTTCACCACCTAAAAACAACCAATTTCAACAAAAACCCACATTTAAAAAAAAAAAAAACAAAAACTTTCTCCAGAATTCAGGTATTTTGGCGAAGCCCATTGGAAGAAAATGCTAGAGTAGCTGGCAGAGCCTTGAGATTAAGAATAAAAAGAAAGAAATGATGAATAAATTACCTTATTGATATTCAAATCCTTGCTAGAAAGTCTAGAGGAAATCTGAAAAGAAGCATTTGAGAATCGATGATGATGATAACTAGTGTCCGATAAACTTGACGGGTTTACTGAATTTTGGTATCTTGTAGTTGGAATAGAGCTAAAGAAACGGACTTTATTGTTCCCCAAAACCCTAGAAGATACGTTCAACTCCATTTTTGGTTATTGGGAGGAAAGGTCTATGGTTTTTCTGAATAATAAAGCTCTAAAGTTTTGGACAGCCAAAGCAAAGCCTGTATCTTCCCTGAGTTCTAGGTTTGCTTCTGCTTCCAGTTCCCCCTAAATTTCTCAGAATATTTGGAAAAAGCGGGTCAACCCGATTCAACGAATTAGTAACTTAAACCCATTTCGGATTAAAACTACGAAAGTCCAATCGTACACTTCCAAGCCCATAATGACGAATTACGGACGTTTAGAAATGATTTTATTTCATTTCTTTTTTCGGGTCACATTTAAAAAAAAAAAAAGAAAAAGAAACTAATTTTTCCAAAATTCTTTTAAATTTTCACATTTAATTTAATAAAATTTTATTTGAAATTACAAAAAATTTGACGTTAAAAATACGTCATTTTTAAATTTATCTGCAAGCATTTTTTTTATTTATAGAAAATATCAAGTAATGCATTATTTCAATTAAAACTCAATTGAGCCTAATCACTCGGCCCATTGGGCCTACCTTAACCCAATTCAACTTGAGTCTCTAAACTCAACTTGTCTTCAATTAAACCTTTTTTTTTTTTTTAACAATTAAACAAGTCAAATGACTTTTTATTTTTCTCCTTATTTTGTAGTATAGTTTAATTTATCAAAAAAAAAAAAAATTAAATAGATTAAATTTAATTTAATCAAAATAAATTTTAAACTTTTAAAACTAATTTAATCCGATCGGACCTTTTGTACACGAACTAACTCGCTGTGTGTTGTGTGTCAATTTGTTGAAATTAGTTACAGTTTAGGACAAAAGACATGACAACATATAAATGAACTAATCGGAAAATTAATCTATAAATTTAAAAATTTAAAATTTTTATATTTTTATAATTAAATTTACATAAAAATTTAAAAATATAATCAAGAAATAAATTTCAAATTACTCTAAACTATACCTTATACCTTAATTCATCTCGTGGTCCTATATAAATATACCGTCATATGATATGAGCATAGCCACACATTAATGAGCGATACCAGTTAATCTCACCACAGGGTGTCCACTTGATCAATTTCCCAATCCCCTCACCGCCCGCCACGTGGCGTTTCCCAGTTAACTGCTTATCTATACTCGTAACACTCTGCTTGCTTTGAGCACATCAAAGCTCTGCCTGCATCATCTTCTTCCTTCCAACCTTTTTCATCTTCTTCTCATAAGCTTGAACTTAGACAGCAATGGAGACCGGCATCACGTGCTATGCACGTGGGATAGTCCTTCCCGGTGTTTCCTCTAAGCATTCCTCTACTGCACTTGTCTCTCCACCTTCTATTTCTCCTTCCTTTAGCTCCAAGGTGCATATTACTACAACATACACGTATGCAGATTAGTATATCTCACATATGCTTGCACTAGCTAACATCTTCATGTCAAGCTTTTCTATATATACACACATATTTGATGTAGTAAGCTACTTGTTAGTCATTAATTTCGACTTTTTTTCTTTTATTATCTAAATTTTCAAGATAATTGACACCTCAATATATTTGATTAGTAAGAAAGTGAGTGTCATACTCAGATATCAAACTTTATATGAGGATTCAAGTTGTGAACTACTAATAATTTGTTTTGGAATTGAATTTGAGTTATGAGAAAGTGTATATATTGATTAATAAGTAAGATTATGACTATTATATATGTTCTTGATAATAAATGATTAACAGCCGGTAACTTGAGCTTTTGAGTACTAATTAGAGGAAACTAGTAATTTCATGCTGAGGATTGTAATTTCATAAAATTCTGCTTACTTGACAAATATAGTATATAGAATATATTCAAATAGAATTGTACGCGAAAGAATTTCTACTCACATGGCTATTTTCTTATAAGTTTGTTGTTGATCGATGTACAAAATGGATGACAGAGTCTAAAATCAAGCTCACTATTTGGAGAATCATTAAAAGTGGTGCCAAGATCATCCCTCAAAGTTTCAAAGGTGAAGAACATCAATTCTTCTGTTGTGACCAAATGTGAGATTGGTGATAGTCTGGTAAAGTTCTTCTTTTTTCGCATATGGAAACCCATTAATACAAAAATCTATTTTATGTATGGCAAATTACACTTTAAACCTCTGGATTTCAAGCTCGTTGTAATTCAAACTTTACAGTAAATTAAAATTTGCAGGAAGAATTTTTAACCAAAGCAACTCCAGATAAGGGACTAATCAGATTACTGATGTGTATGGGAGAGGCATTAAGGACTATTGCCTTTAAAGTTAGAACAGCTTCTTGTGGAGGAACAGCTTGTGTAAATTCCTTTGGTGATGAGCAGCTTGCTGTTGATATGCTTGCCAACAAGCTTCTTTTCGAGGTTCGAGTTTCTTTCTCTTTCTTTTTTTTTTCTTTTTTGTCAAACTACAGCTGAATAATTTTTATCTTCTGCATATATATAGGCTTTGCAGTACTCACATTTCTGTAAGTATGCTTGCTCTGAAGAAGTCCCTGAGCTCCAAGACATGGGAGGCCCAGTTGAAGGTCTGTCTGAAATGTGAACAAAGTTCTGAACTTGGAAACTGATAAATCAGAATTTTAACTAAATAGATCTTTTGCAATTTGGACAGGAGGATTCAGTGTTGCATTTGATCCACTCGATGGTTCCAGCATTGTCGATACGAATTTCACTGTAGGCACCATTTTTGGTGTGTGGCCTGGAGATAAGCTAACTGGTGTGACAGGAAGGGAACAAGTTGCAGCAGCCATGGGGATTTATGGGCCTCGAACCACCTATGTTCTTGCCATTAAGGACATTCCTGGAACCCATGAGTTCCTTCTCCTTGATGAAGGTTTGCTCACTATAACATTTCATAGTTCATTGAAGCATAAAGTTCTCCTACCCAACTTGTTTTTCAGTCAGAAACCTTCTCTTTCTTGACATGTATGCTTAGTTCATCCGTAACCATGAGCGTGATTAACGAAGCTACTGAAAATCTGGTTTCACTAAATATTTTGATCGATGGCCAAACCCAGTTCCTTTAACACCGTGTTTACTTGGTGGGTTCATCAGGAAAATGGCAACATGTCAAGGAGACAACAGAGATAGGTGAAGGAAAACTCTTTTCTCCTGGAAATCTCAGAGCAACATATGATAATCCTGAATATGACAAGGTTTATACGTCTACCAATTCAATTATAACTTCAGAAAAATTGATTAGGGGGTCAATTAATCCTGGTATAAACTTTTTCTTTTTCTTGTTTTCACATAAGCAGCTGATCAACTACTATGTCAAAGAGAAATACACATTGAGATACACCGGAGGGATGGTTCCAGATGTTAACCAGGTATTATGAAGTATTCTACTAATCAATTGTTTCCTTAACTTGTTTGAAATCTATAAAATATTAAAGTTACAACATCAGTTATCACGTGGTCCTTATTCGACTGAGTTTATTCGATTTTACAAAAGTTCAAGAAATCTAAAACGGCTGATGACTGTTGATCTGCAGATAATTGTAAAAGAGAAAGGTGTCTTCACGAATGTGATATCACCTTCTTCGAAGGCCAAGCTGAGGCTGCTTTTTGAGGTAGCTCCTTTAGGATACTTGATTGAGAAAGCTGGAGGATACAGTAGTGATGGCTACCAGTCTGTGCTAGACAAGACGGTCAACAATCTTGATGACAGGACTCAAGTTGCTTACGGCTCCAAGAACGAGATTATCAGATTCGAAGAAACTCTTTACGGATCATCAAGGCTCAAGAGTGGAATTCCTGTTGGAGCTGCTGCTTAAATAATCACAATACTTTAATCTTCTTTTTCTTAATTATTTTTCTACATTTTGGAATAATATCCAAGCTGTTTCATATCTAAGTTTGTATGAGACTGATGAGATTTTCCATCAACGGTAAGACCCAGATTTACAAGTTTGAAATCTTGGTAACATTCCAAGTGATCTTCAAGTCAGCAAGCATTTTCTTGAGAATATTTTACTTGTACACTAAAAAAGTAGCTTCCCAGGCAATTGTTGGAATTTTTTTTGTTTCCTATGAACTTATATCTTAATTATATCTCTATCTTATCTGTTAATATACATATATACATATATGAATAGATGTGTATGTACTACCCAGTCGAAAAGAAAAGAAAAAAGAAATAATGATATAATTATTTAATTTGGATTGAGAAATCATTTAAGAGATCAATTTTTTTTATATTTAAGATAAAACTTCAACTCAAAAGAGTTAACTAATAATTAAATTTTTAAAACATATTTGATTAAATTTAAAATTGTTTCAAGATTTGCATATTTATAAATTTTTTTATGAATATACAACTTTATAATGTGTCTCTGAATTTGTGGCGTTACAGTGTAACTGTTGTTTCAAAAATGAAAATTTCTAAGAAACAAGCCTTGTAATTATCTTTGTATGTCATTGTCTCTTCTGCAAAGGAACATGCCAGCTAAATTTACACTGTATTTCCTAGGACTCCACAACAACAAACAACCAATGTCTTCTTATCATCAAGTTTCTTCCATATTAGACCAAACATAAACATCACCTACTGTGTTATAACATCTTATATTCAATTAAAGACTCATCTTTTGCAAGTTGAAAAACTCCATTGACATGTCAACGGATAGAACTAGTCAATGCTGAAAAGAAGAGAGAAAACTAGAGAAGCATGGTATGCATTCTTCCCTATATTTTAGGATCTTTTCCCCCTGTAGTCATATTATAGATATACATAAAATATGTCATTTTTCTAAGAATGTGGATTGAGTTCTGAACTGTATTGTTTTTTGTGACGAGCATCGATACTTACTATGCTATAAAAATCTTGTCCATAAACTTCTGCACTTTTCTCCAGGCAGTTGAAGGAGCAGGACAGAGGAAATGGCAAGGCTCGGTTGCAGCTATAGTTGATGCACCAATACAAAAAGTATGGATCATGGTTTCTCAGACTGAAAAGTTACCTGAATGGATGCCAATGGTGGAAAGGTGCACTGATTTAGCCGGTAACGAAGGCATTCCAGGCTATGTTCGGCTTGTCTCCGGCTTCATGTTCCCTCAGCAAGATGGAGAAAGGTCTTGGATCAAGGAGATACTAGTTTCCATGGATTCATCATCATACAAATATGTTTATAAAATGGAAGCAAGCAATGTTGGTCTTGACGGGTCTGTAAATTCGTTACAACTCGTGGATTATGGAGATGAATCAACACTAGTTGATTGGTCGTTCGAGATTAATCCTCTCGAAGGAGCTAGCGAGGACACCATCATCGATTTTCTAGGATTTCTATACAAATCTTGCATTAATAAGATTGCTGGTGCTATAGAAACTACATCTCAAAAAGGTTGATCTTAATGCTCATTCTGGAGTTGTCAAACTAGGCTTCTCTTGTTACAATTTGTACCAAAATATTGGTCACATGAATCTCAATCATGCATATAAAATCTGTCTTAAATAAGAAAAGCTATTCAATTCTACTAAAACTAATCTGTTCTAAGCATCAAACAATGTTTTAGGTTTAAATTATATAATTTAAATAAATTTAAACTATATTATTAATAGTAAGTGATTTAAATTTTTATATAGAATTCAAAAATTGTTTAACGTAAAATTAGAATATCGTAATTTTTATAAAAATTATTGAGAATTTAATCAAGATTAAATGTACTATAATTATGAATTATATCACAAAGAGTCATCAACCGAGAACATGATACTATTTGTAACACCCTAAAACTATTTATCCGATATTTTTAGGCCTACATTACCAGTTTTTAAAGGTTTAATTTTAAATTATTAGTTGTAACTTCATATAAAACTTATAAATTATTAAATATTTTGATATGAAGTTGGTTAAATTTTATTTACACACATACGTTTCAAGACGGGTAACAAAATAAACCACGAAACAGATGTTAAATTTCTTAATAAACTAGGTTAGAAGCAACAAGAGAAAAAAAATGGAGTTCGAATTAGTAGAAAGGTAGAGGTGGGATTTGAGAATTTGCAGGGCATATTCAGCTGCAATTAACTATACATTAACTCTATTATATGATTCTTGCTAGAGATTTGGACAGCTGACCATGCCTTCAGATGTTCAATTCATGAAAACTATTTCTCCACTATCAAATGAAATTCCACTTTGATTTCATCAATGTATCATAAACTCAGACCAACCACCACCACCACAATTCCCACCTCTCTTTGAACTCTTCTGTAAGAACCGACATTTTTTAATTAATTATCTAAAAATTAATCACATTAAGAGAGTTGTTGAGAGCATAATTAAGCTGCAAGATACACATTAAAAACCCCTAAGCCCTTCAATGAAGATTTTGAATATTTAGACCTTGGTGTTCTCCAGGATAATTAAAAAATAAATAAGTATTCAAAATAGTAAAATAAAAACACAAAATTTACGTGATTCGGTCAACATAATTTATCAAGAACGGCTGAGAATTCCTTTTAGACGAATTCCCTGATAACATTAAATCTCAAAGAGAAGCAATTAGATTAACTGTTAATATTGTATGATTGCTTATTAATGCAAAAGTAATTGATATATGATTACTAAGTTGTACATTGTATTACTTTAACAAGAGGCTTTTTTACAAGCAGGATATCAAGATGGATCGATGTGCAGATAGATGGGAAGTATGTTTCATCTCTAACAAAGGTAACATTCAAGTGAAAATGGCAAGAGGTTTTATCAGTATTCTTGGAAAAATATGATTACGACTTTGTGTAACATCCAAGAAACCTCGGGAAGAACAGTGAGCTTTACTCACCTAACCAGCTAAAATGACATTCCATCAGAGGCATATCTGTTTCTGTTTATATATATATATATATACACTTTAGAACTGCTTACTAGAAGATTATCCTGGGATTAAATTAGCAATTATAGAAAAGAGAAAATGAAAAACTTGGTTCGAGTAATGCTACTGCTACTGCTGTTGGCTCTTGTGTTTCCATCATTGGCAGAAGCCAAGGTTCGCCGATACAATTTCACTGTAAGTTATTTTAGGCTATATTGTTGTTTCAGGTTTTCAACACGTATAACAGTAAAGCATCCCATGTCATTAACATTTTTCTTCTATTCTTATTTAAAAATAGTATCAGAATTAAAAATAATATCAAAGTCAAAATTCTAGTTTTATGTCACAAAACTTAAAAAAAATGTTTCAGTGTAGTATTTAATACTTTTAATCAAACATAAGTAGTATGAAATAACTCAAAATGTTTATGAACTCGTGCCAAATGCAGCTATATTATTTCATGTGATATTATACATAAAATCTTAACTAAATCAATGCAGGTAGCCATGACGAACACAATAAAGCTTTGTGCAACTAAATCAATTGTCACTGTGAATGGTAAGTTCCCCGGTCCGACACTTTATGCAAGAGAAGATGATAATGTGCTTGTAAGAGTCACCAACAATGTCCAATACAATCTAACAATTCACTGGTGAGAATTACAATTCTTCCCTCTCCGTACTTCGGATATGAATGAGTATACGAGATGCTAATTGGATTATGAACTGCCTAATTTGAGTATTGTTGCAGGCATGGAGTCAGGCAACTTAGGACAGGATGGTCTGATGGACCAGCATACATCACACAATGTCCGATCCAGCCAGGAGGGAGCTTTGTTTACAATTTCACCCTCGTTGGCCAACGAGGCACGCTCCTTTGGCACGCTCACATTTCATGGTTACGAGCAACTGTCCATGGTGCCATTGTGATCTTGCCAAAGAAGGGCCTTTCTTACCCATTTCCTAAACCTCACAAGGAAAAAATCATCATACTAGGTGCGCTCAATGCTCTACTGAATTTATCTCAGAGGAGTTTTCTTCAGGTAAATGGCAAGTTAAGGCTCATTCTCAGTGTTTGACGCAGTTTCCTTGTCTTAATTTGTAGGAGAATGGTGGAAAGCAGATGTTGAAACTATTATCAATCAGGCTACACAGACTGGTTTTCCACCAAATATATCAGATTCACATACCATTAATGGCTTTCCAGGCCCGGTTCCTGGCTGCACTTCTCAAGGTACTAATCTAGTGATTAGATACATTTTATATCCATTTTAAATTTTGAAATAATGGGTTCATTTTTATTACTAAAGAGTTTCAAGCTGAAGGAAATCAAACCCTAAGATAGCTTTGGCTTTCTAACATTTTTCAGGATACACTTTACATGTTGAAAGTGGCAAAACTTATCTGCTAAGAATCATCAACGCTGCAGTCAATGATGAGCTCTTCTTTAAACTCGCTGGCCACAATCTCACCATTGTGGAAGTCGATGCATCCTACACGAAACCAGTGAATCTTGACACTGTTTTCATCGGTCCAGGCCAAACCACGAATGCCCTCCTAACAGCAGACCAACTTTCCGGGAAGTACCTAATTGGTATCTCTCCATTCATGGACACAATTGTTGCTGTTGACAATTTAACATCAATTGGCTACTTAAGGTACAAAAGGGACACCTTCTTTCCCGCCAACTATACTAACTAGAATGCCTCCGATAAATTCAACAGTGTCACAAATGAAGTTCATTGATTCTCTGAAGAGCCTGAACTCGAAAGATTACCCCACGAAAGTCCCACTAGAAATAGACCATTCCTTGCTTTTCGCCATGAATGTTGGGATTAATCCCTTGTGCTACATGTATTAATGGGACCAAATCTGTGGCAGCCATTAACAACATTTCCTTTGCATTACCCTCAACAGCTCTCCTTCAAGCTCATTACTTCAACATCAGTGGAGTTTTTACTGATGATTTTCCAGGGAATCCACCAGTACCTTTCAATTATACAGGTCCACAGCCATCAAGCTTCCAGACATTGAATGGCACAAGGCTTTATAGGCTGGCTTTTAATTCAAGTGTTCAACTTGTGTTACAAGGTACCACTATTATAGCTCCTGAAAGTCATCCAACTCACCTCCATGGATTCAATTTTTTTGCTGTTGGGAAGGGACTGGGAAATTTTGATCCTGTAAATGATCCAAAACGATTCAATCTTGTCGATCCTGTGGAGCGGAATACAATGAGTGTGCCTACTGCTGGTTGGACTGCAATCAGATTCAGAGCAGATAATCCAGGTATGTTTAACAGCTTTGGTTTTTAATAAACATTTAAAAATAAAGATTACCCTTTTGTAAAAGATATAATCTTTAACTATTGGGCATCATAATGATTTCTTGAAATTTACTGCCTTTTTTACAAGATTTATGAAAATAAGGATACCCTTTTGCCAAAAGAAAATTGGGGATCATTTTTTTTTTCCTTTTCAAACTCAGCTTCCTTTGCTTTTACAATTAAAAAAGAAAAACACTTACTAATTCTCTTATTACAAGACTTTATATTTATATACTAAGGTCGTTTAAAACAAATATATTTTTATAGAATTCATGTATTAATGAAATTTGAAAGTTTATTTATCTTATAATAAATTTTTTTTTTCTCTTTAAATTTTATGAAAATAATAACATCCTTATATCAGAATATCGCTAATATTTATTCGATATTAGTTTTTTTTCGAATTATATTTATTCCAGAAATATAAATTTCTATAAGATTACACTACTTACCAGAAAATTTTTAAATTATCTCTCATATTAATTTTTTTTTTTAAAGTTATCTCTCATATTAAAAGTGTGTATAAAAGAATATAAACATAACATACGTTGTGTAAACTTAATTGATTTAAATATCTTACTTTGATACAATGCATGTTAGATAATTAATTAATTATTTATATTTTAACCGCAAGTAATTTTTTTGCTATAGGTATATGGTTTTTTCACTGTCATTTAGAAGTACACACAACATGGGGACTCAAGATGGCATTCTTAGTGGACAACGGAAAAGGCTCAAACGAGTCACTTCTTCCACCTCCTAGTGATCTCCCAAAGTGTTAATCAATGAATCCCAAGAAGCTACCAACCATTTCAAGATCAAAGAAATTTCAGAGCAGACACAAATAGAACAGATCGAGACAATGACTTTGAAAGAAAAAAGAAATCCCAAGAGAGGATTTGAGAAGAACAGAAGAGAAACAAAGGGGAATAAATAGAAAACTTGGAGGATTTTTGGGTTATTTTCTTAATAAACAGAGAAAGGAAGATTGAGATTGGTACTTGTTGTTTCTTTCTTTTTTGGTGGGAGGAGATGGTGAATGAAAAAGAAGTAGCAGCTGGTTGAGAGAAAGAGTGAATAAAAAGAGTTGTGCTTGTTCACTTCTCATTCTTATCTTAAATTTGTAAGGCAAAACTATTTAAACGTTACATTCCTCAATTAAAGTAATAATATTTATTAAATTTGACTATATTTTATTATTATATA